TTTTTTGAGACAGGATCTCACTGAGTTGCTGAGTTACCCAGACTAGGTTTGAAGTTGTGATCCTCCTGCCTCAGCCTCCAGAGTGCTGGGTTATAGGCATGTGCCACCATACCTGGGTATTTTCATTTATGTTTATTTTTTAGTGTATTGCTCTGGGAGTGGAGTTCTTGAGGTTCATGGACACAAACATTTCTATTGTTTAACATTAAAGTTTTTTTTAACATTAAACTTTTGATGCATATGTTGCAAAGCATGTCTTTTAAAATTTTAAAATAAATAACAGCTCTTTCTTGAAAGAGTGCATTGAGGCCTGTTATAAAGGTGATGAAATTAGACCTGCTCAAGGGTAAGGAGCTTGGAATTACTTTTGCCCTCCAGCACCCCTACCTCTGAGGTACCTCTGTGGTTTCGTGGAACCTCACTTGGAAAACATAGGATTAATGTTTAGCACTACGCATCAAAATGCCGGTTTGAGTTCTGGCTGACTTGAAACCACTAGCACAGTTTAAGAGCTTTGGGATAAAAATGGGCATGATCTTTATCTATTAGAAATAGCTGTTATTTTGAGGTTTGCATCAGAGAAACAATATTTGTATAAACAATTTGGTAGAGTTGTAAAAGGAACAAAAAGTATTTTAACTGTATAAGGATTGCATATTTAATTAAGAACTTTAAAATTAAAAAAATCCAAATTATGATTTTACAGGACTCTGTGCTGAAGAAATCCATTTGTGTGGAGAATCTGCTGCTATTGACCTGGTCACTGAGCTTATGCACATGACTGGCGAGGAAGTGGAGGTACTAGAGTCTATACTTCATTCTCAGGGGGCAGAGCAGCTATGCCAGGGTACTGAGGCTTCATAGGCTCAAGGTAGTGGCAAAATTAGAAATTAACTAAAAGAAATGTAATTTTCTTGGTTGAACTTCATGATGTGAAGTTCTGACAGAGTAGCTATTGCAGCTGAATCTTTCAGGAGTATGGGAGATTCTTCATCTTCACAAAATCTTTTGTGGCTTGAGCAGATTGGTTTAGAATTAAGGACTGTTAAGTTTGAAACCTACAACAAGTTTGTGATTTTCAAAGCTTTATATATCATATATGCAGCATTTTGTATTCATCTAATTGTCACAGTTTATCTAGAGTAAGAAGCAACTGATTCCCTTTAAATCCCTGCTTTTTTTTCTTTACTAGGGTTCTATAATAAGATAAATACTTTAAAACTGCTCATGTTTTAGTTTAATGGTCATCCTTCAGGGAAAGAGAGTGAAAAGTAGTGGAAGGAATTCTTGATTTTAGTCTGGACCTTGCTGTTTCTTAGTTTTGTGTTGTGAGACAAATCATAGAAACCTAGAACTGGAAAAAGCTTATGACCTAATCTTCTATTGGATTCTGTTTTACTTTTCTATAAAGTGGAAATGACGGGGCCAGGGATTTAACTCTGGTGCCGCCACCTGCCTCGCAAAGGCAAGTCCTGAGTTTGATCCCCCCATACCAAAAAAAAAAAAGTATAAAATGGAAATGACAGTTAATAACTCTTCTGAAGTTACCACATTGCCATGAAATTGATTTATGTGAAAGTACTTTGAAAATGTATAAACGTTGTATGATATTTTATTAGTTTAGAAATGCCAATAAGAACTGAAGGTAACAGTTATAAAAATAAATTGGAAGTTTTTTTGTTCTCTTGAAAAATGATGGTACTTATCAGTTTTCACCTACTGTTGTGCTTTGCAAGCTTTTTAGTGATTAGTCACAAGAAATTGACTTGGAGATATTTTACCATTTCACATCTTTATTGCAGGTTCGAAACTATAAGAGGCTTACCCCCCTTTCTGTGCTGGATTGTGCACTAGAATCTTTAGATAACCTTCGGCCTGGGGACTGCATTGTCTGTTTTAACAAGAATGATATTTATTCTGTGAGTCGACAGATTGAAATTCGAGGGTTGGAATCAGCTGTTATATATGGCAGTCTCCCACCTGGTAATTATTGGCTTTCTTTGTGACTGGTTGGGAAATCTTTTGTTAAGCCATATAATGTGTTTTAGATCATAGAATAAGTATTTCTCAGTCTACCTAGTGGAAATATTTTTTCTTTATTTATACCCCTTGTTATTAGCTATTAGACTATATTTTAAATACTGAGTTTTAATTTTATTAGGAAATGTGAATTAAAATATGGATCTGGTAATATCTTTCAAATTGTAGTCCTGAAATCTATATAGTACCTGCTCTGGGAAATGGTAAGGATGGTGTGGTGGGGACTAGGTTGCTGTACAAGGGACTACTGAAAGGAGTGGAAGTAAAGGATAAATGAATCTGAGGATTTAAGTAAATAAAGTTTGAAACAATAAAGTTTTTTCCATAAAAATGAAAAGATCAGGGTGTGAAGGTATCTGAGATATACTTAGGATGATGAAGTAAAAGAAGGAGAGCACTCATTTAATATAAACTTTTCTGTTTTAGGGACCAAACTTGCTCAGGCAAAAAAGTTTAATGATCCCAGTGATCCGTGCAAAATCCTGGTTGCTACAGATGCAATTGGCATGGGACTTAATTTGTAAGTAATTTGTTTTTAATAAGTGTGGGTTAGATGGAAGTTTTTTATTAATCAGTTTTCCAATCGGCACTAGTTACCAAACACTTTGATTTAAGAGAATGGGCCACTGGGCGCTTGTCCTCTGGCCCTATTATTTTCATCACTGAAAAATTTTCTGCTTAAAAAAAAAAAAAAGAGAATGGGTATTATAGTACAGATTTGAGCTTTATCTTTATCTGTTGAGGAATAAAAAGAAAATATCATATAACTAGGACTTTTGAGTGCTGCCCTCTATTACTGCTGTTGCTGTGTTTGAGTTTCTTAGCCGGTAGGTGTCCAAGTGCCTATCATTCATGTAAGGCTGGCCATTATCTCTAGTGGTAGCCAAGTTAAGGTGAAATATTCTGTCCTGTGTAATGAAAGCAGCTACTGTGATAGCCACTTTTTAGTCACTGTATTACCCGGATTGACCTCAAATTCCTAAGTTCATGTAATCCTCTTGCCTCAGCCTCCCAAGTAGCTGGGACAACAGGGGTACACCACTGAGCTCAGGGCAGCCAACTTTAAAACAGTATGAGAACACATTCTGTAGGTCATTGATAAAAAGAACCACTTTCTATAGCTTCAGTAAGGTATAATGTATGTACCATAAATTTCACCCATGCTAAGTGTGTAGTTTGAAGATTTTTAGTAAATTTACATAATTGTTAAAACATGCTACTTGAGGGCCGGGATTTAGCTCAGTGGTTGCGCCTTCTTCCTCCCAAGTGCAAGGTCCTGAGTTCAATCACTGGTACCAAAAAAAAAAAAAAAAAAAAAATACTACTTGAAAGTAAGAACAAGAATTACCCAAAAAAGTCTTTTTCTAATTTTTAAAATGGTTGCAAGATAACAAATGAGCATTTCTATGATGACCCAAGTGACAGAGGATTGTTTATATAGTCTGTGGGATCACTTTTATTTCTATTTCAGGAGCATAAAGAGAATTATTTTTTATTCCCTTTTAAAACCCACTATAAATGAAAAGGGAGAGAAAGAAATAGAACCAATCACCACCTCTCAAGCCCTGCAGATTGCTGGCAGAGCTGGCAGATTCAGCTCACAGTTTAAAGAAGGAGAAGTTACAACAATGAAACAAGAAGATCTTGGTTTATTAAAGGATATTTTGAGTAGGCCTGTGGATCCTATAAAGGTAAAGTGTAAGATGTTAATTACTACGACTTTTTTTTTTGGTACCAGGGATCGAACTTGGACCTTGCGCTTGCAAAGCAGGCAGCAGAACCACTGAGCTAAATCCCCAGCCTGTTAATTACTACTACTGTGTGGAGGACAGGGATGCCCTCCTTACCCATTATCCTGACTCTTGCTTCAGACTCTTGGAAACAGAATAAGCAAACGAAAACTGTGCTGTGAAAACCATACCAAGAGAGCGCTCTGTTACTGTTTTGGAGAGGCACAGAGACACCTTGGTCAGAGTTAAATGGTGTACATGTGAAAGATCTAGATTGAACAAATTTAATTGACCTGATTTTCCTTTAATTTTTGCTAGAAATATAACAATTGAAGATAAAGGGATGCAGTTGCTTCATGTGGGCACACAGCTTTGAGGTGTGATCAGAAAATACAATATTAAAATTTATAAAAAATTATTACATGGTGATGTGCATCTGTAATCCCAGTACTTAGGAGGCTGAGGCAGGAGGATCGCTGTGAGTTCAAGGCCAGCCTGGGTTACATAGTAAGTTCCAGGGTCAGCCTGAATTACATAGTGAGATCCTGTCTAAAAAAAAAAAAAAGAAAAGAAAAGAAAAATTACAGTAAAAGACATATTGCCACTTATCCCTTTAAAATACTCCTCTCACTTTTGACACACTTAACTCATCATTCTTGCCATTTTCTGAAGCTATTCTGAAAATTCTTTTTCATATGTCTTTTTTTGTTCATTATTTGAGGCACGGTCTCACTATGTTGTTCAGGCTGGCCTTGAAGTTGCATTGATCCTCCTGCCTTAGGAGGCGTGAGTGCTGGACTACAGGCATGCACCACCACACCAGGCTTGTATGTCTACAGTTGCACTACTGTGGCTGCTTTGGTGTTCTGAATTGATTTGAAACATTTACCTATCATAGTCATTTTGACTTTGGGGAAGAGCCCCATGCCAGGTGGTACTGGGTCAGCTACATAAGGTGGATGAGAGAGATTAATGACAGTATCATCTTTTTTTTTTTTTTTTTTTTTTTTTTTTTTTTTTTTTATTTTTTTTTTTTTTTTTTTTTTGGTGCCGGGGATTGAACTCAGGGCTTTGTACTTGCGAGGCAGGCGCAGTGCCACTGAGCTAACCCCCCAGCTATTATAATAAAATTTTAAAGTTAAGGTGGATGGGAAAACACTGTAATGTTTTTCTTTGACAGAAATGGCTGGCAAAGAAAGAAATTGCTGTAAATTAGTTGAGGTGTGACCAAAAACTACAGTGAATACTTAAATTAAAAATTTATTGCAGTGAACAACACATTTCCATTAAACCCCCTAGGAACACTCAAAATACTACTCCTCACTTCAGACACACTTATCCCATTATTCTTGGCAATGTGTTTTTCACTGTGGTAAGATTTTAAAAATTTAAACATTCATTGTATTTTTTGATAACTCCTTTTACTTCTTGTGGGCATTTCTTGAGACTACAATATATAGTTAAAGAGATAAGTGATCTCTACTTTAGAAGTTTTTTCATGTATGTGTGTATTTTTGTCAGTTTTATTGCCCTGATTAAAGCAACTGGGTTCTTTCTGTTCATTTTATTCAGTGGGGAAAATTGTTTTACCTTGCAAAGCATTTTCTGGTACTCCATCAGGTCACAACAGGATTTACAAATATGATTAAAGTATAAGCAAAAGACTGTTTATTTAGTGAGCATAATCTGTCATTTTTACTACATTATCTCATCTGTTTTTCTGATAAATGTAAAATGATATCTTTTCCTCCACTCAAACGCTTGGCAATAACTCATTCGGTGAGAGCTTAGTGTGAACATAGAACTTTATTTAAAATAACTTTAAAAACTGTTCCTTAAACATAAAAAACAAAAGCAGCTCATGCTTGTCTTTTCTTCTAATTTTACTAAAGGCAGCCGGTCTTCATCCCACTGCCGAGCAGATTGAAATGTTTGCCTACCATCTCCCAGACACAACACTTTCTAATCTCATCGTAAGTGGAAAGTCACTTTTACAGCTCTTCTAAAAATGTTAATGTGGCAGAAAGCTACTGGTCCACCTTGCAGGCATGAAACGATAGTCTGCCTTTGTGAAGTTTCTGTATGTGAAATTTTATGTTACAAACGAAAATTTTCTTTCAAAGTCTTTTGGGAATTTTGTCCTGAGGAATTTCTCTCCAAGTATCTCATGCTGAGAAAGAAGGCTGTGGGGAAATTCTCAACTTTAGGAGGAAGTGAATGAATCAGACCCTTCTAGAAGATTTTTATGATTAAAAAGATTGTCTTTTACGGACTTGAGTACTTTATTCATTAACTTCATATATCCTTTTCCCCTTAGGATATCTTCGTAGACTTTTCACAAGTTGATGGGCATTATTTTGTCTGCAATATGGCTGATTTTAAATTTTCCGCAGAGCTGATCCAGCACATCCCATTAAGCCTCCGAGTGAGGTATGTGTTTTGCACAGCCCCAATCAACAAAAAGCAGCCTTTTGTCTGCTCTTCACTATTACAGGTAAGCCTTTATCTTTGTGCTGTTTTGAGTTGCTTCAGATTAATGTCTTCTTCCCCAGTCGTATTTTATTACTCAAAAGAAAACGTTTGGGAAAATATCCAGTATTCTGAGATTTTATAAAAATGGAAATTTTTTTCTTATAGATAATTTTTGAAGGAGAAAGGAATCCTTGCCTTATATTTGAGCTTATATGGTAGCCACTGTGAAGGAACTAAAACAAGCTAATAATAATTAAATGAACTACTTCAAGGGAGGGCATTTTGCCTGATGATAGATCTTTTTTTGATACTGGAGATTGAACTAGGGCCTTGAGGATACTATGCAAGTGTTCTACTGCTGAGTTACACCCTTAACCCTTTTTTTAAATTTTATTTTGAGACAGGGTCTTGGTAGATTGCCCAAGCTGGCCTTGAACTTGGCAGTCATCCTGCTTCAGCCTCCTGAGTACCCAATATTACAAGCGTGTGCATGCCTGGCTGATGATGCACTTTTACCTTGTTCGTGTTGGGTAGTATTTGGAAGGGAGGTGAATTAGAGCTGGCAACAACATTTGGTTTCCTTAACTGTAAGGCACTGGTTCAGGGGCCGCTGTTTGTATGATGCCAGCCCCCTTTCTTTAGCCCTTCTGTGTAGGAATATAAATCTTGCTTCCAAGGTCACAGGATGCTGGGGCACGCGGGGCAGTGGAAACTGAACTGAGTTGAGCTCTTCTCTCACATGCCCTGTTGCCTTCCCCCACCGTGCTTTCTCTACCTCACTAAATCTGTTCTCTGAAGACTCAGTGTTGGCCTTTGCTCTATAGTCCTTAGCACTCTGCACACTAGCTCTATTCTAATCAAATCTATTTCTAAAATTTTTTAAAATTTAAAAGCAATATGTAATGCATACATGCTTTCTCATTGTACAAAATTAAAACATTACAGGGCCTGGGACTTAGCTCAGTGGTGCTGCCGCCTGCCTCACAAGTGCAAGATCCCAAGTTCAATCCCCAGTACCAAAAAAAATTAAAACATTACAGATAGATTAAATTTGACTACTGACCCCCAATCTCAGGCCTCTAAAATAATTGCTATTATTAGTTAATGTGTTTGTACCCTTTTAGACCTTTTCTGTTACATTTGGCTCATACATGTATGTGTGGAAATTATGCTTTTGTTGTAGAGGTGTTTTCCCCATAAATCTTGCCATAATGAATTATTCTGTAGTAAGCCTTTTTCTTTTTCTCTTAACAACTTGTCTAAAAGGTCTTCCTTGTCCAGGTATTTACCTAGGAAGTATTTATTGGAGTTTTAAGAGGACTTGAGAATGCATGCTTGACAGTCCTGCTTAACAGGTTAACATGGTCACATTTTCGTCTTTCATGGTTACTTTCTTGGTATTTATTAAATGTAGCAGAAGACACCAGAATGAATTTAATAAAAATATACCATTCTTTCTGGAGATGTAGCTCAGTGGTAGAATGCTTGCTTGGCGTGTGTGGTGCCCTGAGGTCAGTGCCTGGCAACTCCCACCACCCATAAATAAATAAATAGCAATCTTTAGCTACAGCTGGTCTAAAATGGCCCTGCCTCTCTGAAGGCTTGGCCTTGTTTAGGTTAAGCATTCAGAATCAATTTTCCTTAATTAGGAAATAAAACATTTGAAGTCAGCTTTTTCTTGAAGCTCAACAGTCTTCTAGAGTGTAGCATGAGTTTCACAGCAAATTCTTCAGCTGTGTGTTGTGGTTCAGGATGAGGGCGTGATGTTCTCTTATTATTGATGAGGAAGCTGAAGCACACGGTGGCCTGCCCAAGGCTGCAGAGCTACTAGGAGGCAGAGTCGAGGTGGATCAGTAGTCAGCTTTGTACAGAGCTACTTCAGAATTTCTTTATATTAAGGGAGAACTGAAAAGGCAAGGAAGCTCATCTTGGAGATTAGAGAGCTATGACGTGATAGTCCCGTGATAGGTAGAATTGAGAGTATTCAAGATCTACCTGCCCATAGGTCACAATGACAGTTATTAAAAAATGACAAAGGACTCAGGCCCTGGAAAATTAGTCTTTATTGTACAACTTCTGAGGCTCATATTATTGCCCTGGATTTGGAAAAACAAAGGAGTCATCTTAAAACCAAAACAAAAAAACAAATATCCTTTTAAAGAATTAAATAGGTTTTTTTAAAATATAGGAAAGTATCAAGGAGGAAAGAAACCAGTCTGTCTCTTGAAATATAACCACAGTTAATATTTTGTTGTGCTTTTTTCTTCCTAATCACAGACTTAAGGGGAATTCTGATTATCTTTCCAAACTTCTTTCTGCTTTTTCTTTCAGTTTGCCAGGCAGTATAGCAGGAATGAGCCCCTGACCTTTGCGTGGTTATGCCGATACATCAGATGGCCTTTATCTCCACCTAAGAATATTAAGGACCTTATGGATCTTGAAGCTGTCCATGATGTCTTGGATCTTTACCTGTGGCTAAGGTAGCAACCTTTTCCTTTTACGTGCTCCACTTTTCTAATAGGGCCAAACAAAGGTTTTATGGATTTTTTCCCTCTATCTCTTTTACACTGTACATTTGCAAAATACTTGGTTTATTTTCCATAAAGGCACTTGACCCTGGTTTGTACACATTCTAGAAAAGGTTTGGGAAGTTCTTGCAGTTTTCATTAACGTAGTCAAGTAAGACAGTCCACGAGACTCTTACTCAGAGGGGGCCTTGGCCGAGAGCTTTGTTGTCACCTGGGAGCTTTTTAGAAATACGAATCTCAGGCTTATCCCAGACTTATCAGGTTTTACATTGAATATAGGCAGTCAGTTGTGTAACATTTGAGAAGCCTTGCTTGTGCCTGCCTGGGAGTCTCAGTAACCCTTGAGGTAGACTACTGACCCCTAACCTCAATGACATATTTCCCAGGTGTGTTGGGGCAAAAATAAAGGTTGAACAGGGGCACTGAATAGAGTTTACAGAAAGAGAACACCTGGAATTAACCAATGTGGCGATGTAGGCATGTCATTTAAATTAGTCCAGAGTGGTTGCTATAATGTGTTGTGTCCTTTTCCCAGCTACCGATTTATGGATATGTTTCCAGATGCCGTCTTTGTTCGAGACATTCAGAAAGAACTGGATGGTATTATCCAAGATGGGGTATTCAACATTACCAGGCTGATTAAAATTTCTGAGTCAAATAAGCTTTTGAATCTGGAGGGCTTGTCATTGGGGAACCAGGCCCTTTTGTCCTTAAAGGGCCAGACTAGAAGGACACGCATCACCAAGGCTGCAGGGAGCAAAACGGATGAGCCAGCCAGCCCTGGCGCTGGGAACATAACCCTTGCTTCCAGATTGGTGCAGCAAGGACTCCTCACTCCAGACCTGCTGAGGCAGCTAGAGAAAGAGTGGTTGACACAACAAACTCAAGAGGACAAGGAAAGAAGAGAGTCTGGGACCCACTTGAAAGGCTCAAGAAGAAAGAAGAAGGAGCCCAACTCTGATTAGTTGTTTTTATTTTTTGAATTTTACAAATAAAAACCTATTTTAAATGTCTTTTGTGCATACGTATTTACTGTCTGCTGTAATATTGTAGATATCTTGTATTGGGTTTTTGCACAGAAAAATTAACTCTTAAAGATGAGTTTCAACATTTAAAAAATACTTGAATGTCTTTGAGATTTTACTTAAATCTTTATATAATGACCATTTATTTGTAGGATAGCACTAGACTGCACTGTAAGGAGCTCTGCATGGAAGTCAAATCAGATTGGTGAATTATGTGACCCTTAATATGTCCTGCACCATTGCTGAGAATCTCAGGTGGAATAGCTTGGCAAACATTACTGTCTTGTAACTACATACCAGAGGCTGCTCTGGGAACTGTGCAGTAAGCAAAACAGATTTCCTGCCTTCTTAATTTGGAAGGAGACAGGAACAAGTTAAATACCATTCATTCTGTGAGATCAGGTACCGTGATCTGTCTAGTTCATTGCCATGTCCAGTGTCTACAGGGGGAGCACAGTCAGACTTTGTGAAATGAATGGATATAATTACAGAGATCAGTATTAAGTAGAATTAACTGGCCATAGTTGCACAAACTTGTAGTCTCAGTTACTCAGGAGACTGAGATGGGAGGCTAAGATGGAAGGATCACAAATTTGAGGCCAGTCTGAGGAAGACTTGTCTCAATAAAAAGGGGCTGAAAATATAGCCCTGTGGTAGAGTGCTTGCTTAATATGTGCAAGGCTCTGGGTTTGATCCCGAGCACTGGAAGAGGTGGGGGAAGGAAAAGAGTGGTGAGTGGCAGCAAAAAGCAGTTTTAGATACGGCTCTTGTTCCTGTCCAAAGTCAGTCTGATGCATAGTGACCTCTCTGTTCAAAGTTTTTAACTCTGATTAGAAACAATTGAAAGAAGTTTAAAGAAGTTGGAAGTTGAGCGCTGGGTATGTAGCTCAGTGACACCACGCCTGCCTCTCAAGCACAAAGTCCTGAGTTTGATCCCTGTTACTGCAAAAAAAAAAAAAAAAAAAAAAAGTTGAACACAACTGGTTCAACCTTTTCTCATCACTACCAGCTTTGTGACCTGCTGCTTAGTGGGCTTAGTCTCTGCCTCTGAAGGTGGACAGTAATGCTTGGGTAGGTTGAGTGTGATAAGTAGGACCTGCTGTTTTATCAGTGAATCTAAAGGTTTGGGTCTGTTCTGGCTGAATCGAACTCTTAGGTCCTTCTGAGTACTAAACTAACACCTTGAGCTGGTGTTAAAGCTGCTGAACAGCTGAATTTCTCAGCTGTGTAGTAGTTGAGTCAAGGTGCTATTGCATTTAACGAAGATGACAATCTTTATTCTGACTTTGGCCTTCATGGGAATAATAGTTGAAGTTGAACCAGGGATTTAGCTCAGTGGCACTGTGCCTGGCTTGCAAGCACAGGTCCTGAGTTTGATTCCCGGTACCAAAAAAACCAAAACAAAACAAAAAACCCAGTTGATACTGTTTCTTGCTTTTGGTAAACAGTAGTGAAAATCCTGGAGGGTTATATTTCTATTGATATCTTGCTTTGGACAACTCTAACTTCTAGAATTTGTTTTTCTGTGTTAGTTATACTATGCCAGACAGCCATTCTTGCCCAGATGGTCTCAAGAAATACCTGTCAGCTTATTATTATTATTAATTTTGTTACCAGGGATCGAACTCAGGGCCTTGTGCTTGTGAGGCAGGCGGTGGAACCACTGAGCTAAATCCCCAGCCCTGTCCCATTACATTTTAAGTAATGAGGTATATCAATCATTAGTGTTTTTTTTTCCATTGAGTTTATTGGTACATTTTAGGTATACAGTAGTTATATTTACCATTGGGATCTTGTACCTTTACATGACAGGTCTTGGTTCTCATTTTTTCCCCTTGTCCCTGCCCTCCCTTCACCCCTTCCTCCCCTCCCCATTTACAAACACTTTTTCAATTTTTTCATTATCTCATATAATTATTAGTGTTAATGCTACAATTTTCTCTAGTTGGGATCAGAGTTGGTAAGGGTAAGAAGACACTTAGGACAGTCTCTTGCAAACACAGGCAAGTTAAATGTTCTCAAAGCCTCTGGTAAGAGGTGGGGCTATGGGTGGTGTAAGGGAAGGATCGCTTGAACATTTAGCTAAATAATGCTTGTGAGCAGTGACAAAGAATTTGTCCTTTTGCCTTTCCCTTCTTTTGGGGGACAGGAGGGCATTGTGGTTAAACAGAAGAGATCCTCCTCCCCCCAAAAAGGGTATCTGGGTACATTTGGAATGTCCCTGGATAATTCTCTGCAGTGTACTGCAAATTGTCACCTTGAAAAACTGGTCTTCCTTCCTTGTTGCCTGTCTCTTTTGCAGGCTTCTGCGCCAAATCTAGGTGTATTTCATTACAGTCATATTCTCACCCTTCCCAAAACTCAGCTTTCTTTCTACCATTGGAATTTGCTAACAGGTTTTGAAGTACTTGCCTCAAAGCTCTTGGGTTACTGCAGATTCAACTGAACATCATTGCATTGACATATAAGGTGTGGCCCAAGGCTTAGGTGCTGACCTCAGTTCTATCACCACAGACCTGGTAATTTAATGAAATGTGGTTAGCACATAACTGGCTAGGATTAATAACCAATGACTTGCAATATTTGCACATTATATCTCTAGAGGAGTGCAAACGTACAAAATGACACTGGGTCTTTTGAAAAATGACACCGCAAGTCATAGATACACAAAATTATCATTACAAACCATCAAAGTCTCTTCTGCCTAGAACCTGGAGTCTGTAATTAAAATGTAGTCATCCTATGTGTATCTGACTCGAAACAAACTTGTTAGGAGTTTTTAAAAAGTTGCAGTTTGCTGGAGAGAAACAAATAAGTCATGCTAAGATTTACCTCCCCTTTCAAAACTATACATAAAACCTGAAGAGACCACAGTGTTATAAACATTTCTGAGTGATCACTGTTCTCTGAATGCCTGCCATTTAAGACAGGAGCACTCACACGCAAATGAAAAACAGTTATCTCTGTAAGCAGAAAATGCTAAAGAAGAAAAAGTTCAAAGTAGGACACTAAACTTAAGAAGGTATTTTGGGCATTTTGGGTAGAGTTGGCCTCTTGAGACTATGCTCTTAGAATCTACTTAAAGATTCAATATCATGTGGGCTGGGGATTTAGCTCAGTGGCACTGTGCCTGCCTTGGAAGTACAAGGTCCTGAATTCAATCCCCAGTACTGAGAAGAAAAAATAATCCAATATCATGTGTTTCCTAATCATTGTATATGATGGCAAAAGTATTTAGTGTTTATAGAGCTTGGAAAGATCCACAACTCAGTGATTAATTGGAACCACATTGACACACCTAAAAAGTGCAAGGAAGTTGAGAACACCACGCTGGAATATCTTTTTCATAAGTGCCTGTAGCTTTTGAATTCCACAATTATAATGTATAATTACAATTTGTAATAGTCACCAAATTGTGTGCAGTGGTGACTCATTGGTCCTCTAGCAATTGTGCCTCTATATCCTCTACTGTTTCATCAGTTCTAGCTATGGTGCTAGGCAGAAGGAGGAACTTGTGCTACCATTTGAACTGCAGCCTCACCTAAAAGTTCATGACAAATGTCCTGAGCGGCAGGCAGGATCAACTCTTCACCAATATTAAAGGGCTTCTTAGCTTTAGCAATGTGGTTACCCTCTAAGAACGATGTTCTCAGTGCAGACAAAGTTATGAAGTGATGGCCTTCAGTCATTGATTGCTTCTGTTCATGTTTTCTTTTTTTCTTTTGAAAAACTCCAAAGTCTTATCTTTTGTTTTGTGTTTGGTACCGGGGGTCAAACTTGGGTCCTTGTGCTTGAGAGGCAGGTGCCAGAACTACTGAGCTAAATCCCTGGCCCAGCCTTATCTTTTAATAGAGGGTGCTTGGTGTCCATGTGATTGAAGTTGTTTTGAAGGTTTAATGGCTTCCTTGGATAGCTGGCTGCCACATATTATACAAAGAGGGCTTGGAGAATGTTGCAATGAACCTGTAATTTACATAGAACTCTTCTTATTTTCTTTTAAATGCAGCTTTTTGGGAACAGTCTTAGAGTCTTCTGCTGTCTCATCATTAGGTCTTTCCCCCTTTTCAAAGTTTTTATTTAAACTCCAGTGAGGTTTGCTTTTTACTTACTTTGGCTAGAGTTAGTCTATGGGGTTACCAAAATTATGACTGGACAAGCTCACAGTCCAGGAAAGAGGGTTGGACAGAAGTGGTAAATAAAATAATGGGTAGGCCACAAATGAACTTTGATTCTGACTTAACGCCTGCTACCAGATGCATCTTGTTACATGCCACTCACATGGGTTTGAAGAGTCTGCAAGTCATTCACTTATTATGTTCTCTCTGCTGTCAGAGCTCTGTGCTAACGTTAACCTGCATTTGCAGCCGCTCCCCAGTGCCAGCATCACCACCTCAGCTCCACCTCAGATCATCAGGCATTATCTTCTCATAAGAAGCATGCAACCTAGATCCCTTACATGTGCAGTTTACAGTACAGTTCAAGCTCCTGTGAGAACCTAGTGCCTCTGCTGATCTGACAGCAGGTGGAGTGCAGGTGGGAATTCAAGTGATGGGGAGCAGCTGTGAATACAGAAGACGCGTCCCTTTCCTGCCCTTCCCCAGCTGCTCACTTTCTATTGTACACCCAAGTTCCTAACAGGCCATGGATCAATTACTGACCTATAGCCATGGGGATCAGGAATGCTTGATCTACAGAGTCTTAGAAATTTTTATTCAATCATGGCTTTTCCTAAGTAGCCCAAATTCAATTTCTTTTGAGCTTATAACTGCTGTGGAGAGGAGAGTGCTGATTTTTTTTGTTTTGTCCTGGGGATCAAACTCAGGACCTTGTGCTTGCGAAGCAGATGGTATAACCACTGAGCTCAATCCCCAGCCTGGGAGAGTAATGATTTTTAAAAAGTGTCACGTAATTCCTTTCTTCCCCCAAGTACTGGGAATTGA